CGCACTGGATAGCTGGCCAATCAGAACACACCTCGCTTTTCAGACAGATTAGCTTTGTAAAAATCGACGCGTTTCAGAAAGGTGAGGCATAGAGGAGAAACAATAATGTACAGTATGTGGAAAATAATGTGTTTTTTTAACCTTAAACTGCATTTCGTTACACCAAATACACAAAATAATGTTCTTTTTAGCAACATCATATGACCCCTTTAATAGCCTATAATAAACATTACCGAATGACGGAACTTGTTAACATAACAGTCCGTCGATTAGCATAAATCAACTGCTCATAAGGCTAGGACATTTCCATTTAAAAAAATGGAACCCCTAAAGGGAATAAATACGAGATGGGAGGAAAAAATATATTTCAATACTTTCTCTCGCAATTATATCGTTGGGTATGCCCGCAATTTGAAATCGCTTTTTGAATGCTCACTTGCTTTATTTCACTTTCGAGATTCACAATCACACGTCCTCTGTTTATACTATGGAGCGGCAGTACTTGCCACACGTTTTACAAGATTAGATTTTTGTCAGTGGTGCTCAGGATCCGCAAATCATTTGCCGATTTGTCAGTCATCAGTCATCTCTCCTTACTCTGTGTATGTGGTAAGTGACCTTTTATGTACTGTATTGTAACAGGCTCCCGCTAGCAAGCGGCTAACCATGTTCCCTAAGTGGCTCCGTAGAACACGTTATTCGTTTTCCGTGCCTTCCCGAATACAGATTCAGCACAGAAAAAAGTCTTGACCAGGGGCGCATCAGGTACTCACGAGCGAGACTATGAGTGCTCCAGAGAGGGAACATAATGTCAAAAACAAAAAGTGGATCCCATTGCAAGAAACAAAAATAATCCACGTCCAGGCACTCACATAGCAGGCAAAATATAAAAAAGCCTTTATTGTAAGACAGGGCTACATGCTAAAAAACACCGCACCGCAGATTCAGCACACCTCTAACCCAATCGGGGGTGTTTGCGGTCCGCACCAAACTCTTATTTGACATCGTCCCAAGTTACCGTAACCGCTATATGCCATACAAGTCTACAGTCAGTGTACGCGTGAGACAGTGTTCTTCTGTTGTCTTTGACAGCTTTTAGGTGCGTTATTGGCAGCTCCACCCTCAGCTTACATTAACGCGTCACCACTGCATCAGCACAGAAAACATGGGCAAATTTTTTTAGACAATAATCGCACAACCTATTAGATATTCTATTATTAAATCAATTAATCGAATATTCGAAAATAGTGACCCATCCCTAGTTCAAACATATTTAGTACATGTTTATATAGACTGAAAATTGAATAATAGTGCAGATGTCATTTTTATAAGACATGAATAGATTAGTTTTAGGTAATTTTATTATTGGGTGAATTATTACACATATACACTCTTGATGATTTGAGATTAGCACAACTAACTTTGTTCAACTTTTAATTGTATATTTCTCACAAGATTTAAAAATAACAATGGTTGTAAAGGATGTTCTTCAGTGTTTCCAAGCACGTTCTGCTGTTTTAGATAGAAATCTGAGTATAGTTGGTGTCGCTGTGTCCTTGGATGTTTGTAGTGCTCAATATTCACTGGGCACAAATTGGTCCAGCATTTGTCTGGACTAATTTGTCTCCAACAAGGGATGGTAAACTCCTTCGTGTTCGTCCAGCCCTGTACATAGGGCTGGACGATATGGCCAAAATTTATATCACGATATATTTCTTAATTTCGGTTGTACAGTACTCTGGCACTCTGACTCTTAGGCTGATGAGACACGGGGCAACTTTTTGAGCAACGTTGCCGGGTAACTTTTGTTAATGTTGCCGTCAACGGGCAACCAGGTGAGACACAGGGCCCACAACCGATCTAAAGTATCCAGATAGAAATTTGAGAAGTTTAAGAGTTACTACAGAAAGACACAAACGAAACCAACCAATAACTGTTTAGGTAGTGAAACTTTGAATTTACTTGTTTGAGGTTTTCATAAAAGGGTCATTTGCAAGCAAGGGAATAATCAGTAATGAGGCTTTGATTACATCATTGCATATTTGGCTGGGAAAAGCTGCCTTTGAGTTGGAGTATAATAAGAGTCTGTTCTCTTTGGACTTTGGTGTATTGTGTGTATGGGAGGCGCTGGGATCATTTGTAAACAATGCCTTCCTTGATGCCAAGAGCTAGTGTGCTTTTGTAAGTGTTCATCTCGTTTTTAGTGTTTCTATCCCTCCAGTACTGGAGCCAGTACAGTTCTTTCCTCCCAGCATGCATGCTTTCCGGTTGTCTTTCTTTCTCCTCTGCATCATTAAAGCACGGGCACACTCTACGCAAATATTTAGCCCTTGGCCACCTGCCTGCCTCCATGTGAGCCTCATTTGGTGTGTTTATCCTGTTTCCCATTCAGCCATTGAAGTGTTGTTTTCCTCTAAACTTGGGACCGCACCTCTGGTATGCAGAGCTTCAACTTCACACACCCACTGTACTTTTAATATTACAAGAAATCTGTATCCTTAAAATCAGCCAGTATGACAGGGAGCTGTGTGTGTGTTTCTGTGTATGCACAGTCCTTGCAGTGCAGCCTATGCTCTGAGGCTGGCTTGCTTTTGTGCATCTATTCAGCTCGCTCTATTGTGAGCGGTGGTGCTAATTGCAGCCTGAATGGTCTCGGCTAAATGTTTTGTGACAGTTTGAAAGCATGAAAGAGAAGAGGGGCACACAAGAAAAGGAATCCCTCTTTTTTGTTTTGTTTTTTTCTCCCTCCTAATGGCACAATGGAATGCTCTTGGCTTTAACCTTCAACTCCCATGCAACCCTGTTTCCCCTCCCTCACAAGAGAGTCTCCTCTCCGAATCAGAAATAGAGGTAGATATAAATAAAGCCCGGGTGAGGGAACAGAGATCGGATCCCGCCGAAACTGTGTGGGACGAACGGGGCGGTCGCTCCCGTACTGAGCTGCAGCTCCTTGGCAACATTTCAAATATGAGCCTCAGAAGCCTCGCGAGCAGCAGACATATTGTAACAGGGATGGCCAGCGCTCTGCACGCAGCCTAGCGCTTCTCTCAGGATGGTCGGGCGACATCTCTCTTCAGGTACTTTTCCACTTCTCTGCGACCCCACCCCCTCCAACCTCATAGTACGATCCTCCACGCGCTGATAACAGGCTTTTCCCATGCTTTGCTCTCTGCTGTACTGCTGCTGTTTGATCTGGAAGCATAGCATTCATATAACTGCAAAATAAAACGCAAATCCTTAAAGCTATTGCGTTGCATGTTAGAGATTAATGCAGGGCAGAGGTTTGCTGCGCCATCTGATAAGCTTTCTTCAGCGAGACACTGTAAGATGTTGACGGCAGCTCTAAGCTTTTTTGGCTTCAGTTCAGATTTGATAAAATGGCGTCCTTTACTACGCAGTGACTCTACAGAAGGATAGCTTTTGTGTTGGAAACACACTATCCTCTCTTTCATAGACTCCTTTTTTCTTGTCTTTAGTTAAAAGTGCTTTTTTTCCGTGGTTGGTGACAGAAAGCCTGGTGTGCACAGGCGCTGCCACTTTGCGCAGATCTGACACAGACTGAGCCGTGCCTGCACATGTAAAGCCACACAAAAACAACAACAACAGAGTTGAGCAAGTGCCAAGAGGCTGGGCAGCATTGCCAACTAATTAACACAACAGGATCCTGGTATCCATATGTGGGCATTTGCGCTGCTTTCAATGTTGTTATCAATGTGTCATATTTAGAATGAACATATTTCTTTGAAAGCAAAGTCTGTGGTTGTAATCTGTCAGTCCAGCAGAGGGAGGTGGTTGTGGTTGGGAGAAGCAAGGCGATGACAGCAGTGAAAAATAATGACTCTGGGCTAGCATATACATGTGAACCAACACATGCTGTTAATGCTGCATTTTTATTATATTATACATTTTTATTTACGTAAGTTATAACCATAGCTACTGTGCTGATGTAAAGCATAGTTTTTCTTAAAGCAAGCCAAGAAAAAATATGTTTTGATCGATCTAGCCAGATCTTACAGTAAATGGTCATTTAGATGAATGTTTCAGATCAATTTTTCAAGTGAAATGTAAATCTTCTGAGAACTTTGCATTTGTCTGTATTTGTATAGATTTAATTATTTTCTTAAATATCAAACTTTTTGTAATCTAATTTAAAAAAAAATTGCAATATTGCTAATTGCATTTATATATATAATGTATTTTATCATAACATGTATAAAAGCTAAATTGTGTTGAGTGGTCATATGAGTGAATGAAATTAATATGGGTCATATGCACATTATTTCAATAGTTTCTCTTTCTTTTTCTCTTTCTTTCTGTAGAGCTGCCCCCACAGAGTGGCCTGGCAGCCCAGTATGAGAATATATCCCCCAATCGCAGTGCCACTACAGCCTCTACCAACAGCTGCAGCGGCTGGGATCCACTGATTATTGACAAGCGCGATACGGAGGCGTGGCCTTCCATTTCATGCAAAGAAAGCCACGCCCCTGCAGGATGCCCCTTGGACACTGAAAGTATCAGTGACATCAGCAGCATGAGCATGGCCACAGGAGCTGGCCAGCAAGGCCATTTCTCCGCCAATCACCCCAGCAAAGCCAATGCCAGCCACTCAGGAGGTCTACTCTCTAGTCAGGGTGGGGCCAGCAGAGGCTGGGGCTCTGGCCCGTCTCCTGCCAGTGGAGGAGAAGGGAAAAATGAAGTCTCCAGCACATCAGTGGGAGCCAGGTGTTGGGGCTCCTCTAACTTTAACTTGAACTTAAACCCCAACGCTAACCCCTCTGCCTGGCCAGTTCTGGGACATGAAGGGACCGGCATGGGTGGCGGCAGCTCTGGAGGAAGCAACCCTCCTCCTCCTAATCTCTGTAGCCCACCGGGCACTCTGCCCAGTCAGAGTCCTAGCAGCAGTGGCAGTATAGGTGGTGCCAATGGAAATTCTGCAGGTAATGGTGGCAGTGGCAATGGCAGCACCTCATGGGGTAGCATTGTGCCCAGTGACTCCTCAGAGCCACATTCCACCCCATCCACGAATGTGTCTTTCAGCTCCGAACCTCAAAACCTTAACACTGATGGACCAAATCACACTAAGCAAGAGCCCAGAAGCCCTGGCCACAGCCTGCCTAACTGGGGGGTTGGACCTGCAGGCATGGGCTCGTTTGTTCAAAATCCAGGAGGAGCCTCACAGGTCAACGGGGATGAAGAACCTGTTTGGGGTAATGGAGATGCCAAGTCTGGTGGTGGCTCAAAAGACTCTGGTTGGGACTCAGGGAGCAGCAGGGGACAAGGAGGGGCCTCAGGCACTTCTGGATGGGGACAAGCTGCCTCAACTGGAGACTGGGGTAAGCATTCCAACAGTGAGGCCAAAGGATGGGATTCCTCAGGCTCTCCCACCCAAGAGCAGCAGCTCAACTCTTGGGTTCGTGGGGCCAATGCCCCAGCCAGTGAGGGAAGCAGTGACAGCATGGAATGTCATCCTCGCAGGAGGGTCTGCTCATCAAGAGATGAGGCTTCCCCTATTCTGCCTACCCAGGATATGGACCCTCGGGTTCTATGTAACACAGGCTGGGGACAAACACCAGTGCGTCAACACACCGCTTGGGAGACCGAAGAAGGTGCACGCGCCAACTGTAAGAATGACGTTGGAACTGAATCCTGGGGCTCGTCCTCAAATGCAGCCAATGTAGGACCAACACCAACTTCTAGCAGTGCCAACCCAAACTCTGGCACTACATCCAGACCTGACTCTGGGGGCAAGAATGAGGGCCCCTGCCCCAGTACTGGAGCTGCACCTGGATGGGGCACAACCATGCCATCACCCCAAGCTAGCTCTGGTTGGGCAGATCCTACCAGCAACAAGAAACCTTCCAGTGGTCCAGGAAGTTGGGGCAGTACCCCAGCTGGAGGTCCAGGTGGCAACCTGCAGAAAAGTGGTCAGACTTGGGGATCAGAGGAGAAGTCTCCTACATGGGAAGACAGTCACGCTAAAGCCAAACCACAGGGCTGGACTGAGGTGCCCAAAACTTCTCACGGATGGGGCAATGGACCTGGTGGAGAAAGCGGGTCTGGAGGAGAATGGGGTGAACCAGGAGATGGAAAGAAAAATGGTCCCTCCAGCTCTACCTGGGAGGGAGAGGGTACCGGCTGGAACGAGAGCTCCAGAAGATGGGGAAAGCCTGCTCCGGGAGTAGGAGGAAACTGGGGAGATGCACAAAACTCCAGTGTGCCATCACAAGGATGGAATAACAAGCCCCAGGAGGGCAACAATGGCAATAGTGGCAGTGGAAGCATGGGTTCTTGGGGAGGTCCTAACTCTGTAAAGCAGAGTGGCTCTGGATGGGGAGGAGGAAATGGTGGAGGTGTTAAACCTGACCACACTGGAGAGCCCACTGGATGGGAGGAGCCCTCGCCACACTCCGTCCGACGTAAGATGGAGATCGATGATGGTACCTCAGCTTGGGGTGACCCAAGCAGTTGCAACAAGACAGTCAATCTCTGGGACAGGAATAACCCTGGGATGCAAGGCAAACCAGGACCTGGCAATGCCAACAATGTACCCAACAACCATCACCATCATCCCCACCATAACCAGCCTCCCATGCAGACCCACAGCCATGGAGGGCCAAATTCAAACAATAATCACATTTCCCCTGATAACGCTGGCCCACATCAAACAGGGCCACCTCACAATAGAACAACCCCTATGAATCCAGGTAAGAAACAAGACTTTTTACTTTAACATACACTGTCAATGACCTTTACCTGGTTAAAATGTATCACTCTACTTTTGTTTGATAATTTTGGCATACAAGTGAAGAAAAAAAACTGACAGATCATGCTAAGAGAACACGCTAGCAGAACAAATAGAAATGTTAGAATAGTATTTACATTTTGTCATAGTGTTTGAGCCAGGAGGAAGTGTGTAATTAGAGTTGGGTCGCCATCTGTGGGGAGTATCACTAGGCCTCAGCAGGATACTTGGAACAAACCCGACGCCCTCTGCTGTTTGTGTGTAGCTTTGCACTCCCTCTGCCAAAGCTGTATTTAACATGGCATCCTCAGATCTCCCTTGTGCCAACAACTAAACCGACATTTAATATTACTGCTACAAAGTGACTTTTGTTTTTACAAATAGTTTTAAATTAAACAAAAGTCTCAAAATGAATAAATTGTGAAATTCATCTTAATTTTTTAATTCAACTTTGTACTCCAATTGTTATGCTAATAAAATTATTTGTGGATGGGAAAAATGCAAAATAGAAAATAAACTTTTAGACCAGACTGTATACACTACATGTTGCCAGCCTCAAGGGCATTTAGTATATGGCTTATGAAGCAGTGAAAACTAAAGGCGCACTTGCCCTGAGTTTTGCTGTATTTCTTTGCAGGATGGGGCGAGATGACAAATGTCCATTCAAAACCTGAGCCCTCATGGGTAGAGGCAGCCGCCCCTGCAGCAAGTGTGGACAATGGCACTTCAGCATGGGGTAAACCCCCAGGTGGCTGGGGTGATAATGGCCCTGAGGTCTATGGTCGAGGCAACGGACCTCCTGGATCTGCCCCCTGCAAACCTGGTTAGTTTTATGAATGTACATTTATTTATTAAAGTAAAAATATTTGTAGTTGCATGATTTTGTGATTTAAAAAAAAAAATCACATGCAGTTATTCGGTTGTAGTAGAATTGTGTTGGAAATCGATGGTCTGGTGGTATATCAGAGCTTTGAAATGTGTAACAACAGGGCCCCCTGTTGTTGTAAATAATGCACTACAGGATTATACATGTTTTGGTATCTCAGTAAGGACAAATTAGTTATTTCTATTGTTTGTGAACATAACCAATCGCAAATGTTTATGTGTGCTTCTACTATGGACACTTTCAATAATGTGTGTTTTTGTTCCTACAGCCCCCAAATCTATGCAAGATGGCTGGGGTGGTGGAGAGGACATGGACCTGTCTGCAGGGCAGTGGGAGCAGGATGAGGGTGACATGTGGAACAGCACTGCATCTCAAGAGAGCAACTCCTCCTGCAACTCCTGGGGCAACCCACCCAAAAAGGGCCCACCAAAGGTTAAAAAAAAAAAAAAAACCTACTTATGTTTATTGTAGGTGTCATGCTTCAGCTCATCTGTCTGTGTTTTTCTTTAAAGGGAAAAGTCCCAAACAAACAGGATGATACTTGGATAATGAATCGTCTCATCAAGCAGCTGACTGACATGGGCTTCCCTGTGAGTACTGCTTATCTTTCATAAAAGAGCATTTTTCCCTCTGTATATTTGACGGTTGTCCCTGGGGTAAGTTTTACGATACTGACTGCCTAATTGTACATTATACATTATCCAATTGCTCAAATTAATTAGATTATTAAAATCAGTCTTTGTAATAAGAATTAATACAAATGGTGTTTACTGTGTTTTTGTTTGCCTCTGCAGAGAGACCCTGCAGAAGAGGCTCTCAAGAGCAACAACATGAACTTGGATCAGGCCATGAGTAGGTGTTATACCTGCAAAATCTTCAGTTCCTTCAGAGCTTCTATGCTAGAATATTATATTCAAATATTATTTGTGCGGTAGGCGCCCTGTTGGAGAAGAAGACCGAACTAGATAAACGGGGGATGGGAATCTCTGACTACAACAACGGCCTAGTCAATAAACCAATGGGCTGCAGGCCTTCAGTCATCTCCAAAGAATCCTCCTCAGATCGTCCCCCCTTCTTGGACAAGGTATGTGCTTCTCACAATTACAAGTCAGTACATTTTAGTTATTGCATCTAGAAGACTTCACATTGTGCTGGATTTTGTTTGTCTCGTTTATTTATTCACTTATTTTGTTATCTGCTCCTTAGGATGCTGGGCTAGCAGATGATGCCCAAACCTCACCGTTTATGCCTTCTCCGAGCCTGAAGCTCCCATTGGGTAGTGCTGCACTCCCTGGCCAGAGCCTTGGAGTTGCGATGCAAAACTTGAACAACAGACAGGTGGGTCTATGAGGATCTATGTGTATTTTGTATTTCAGCATTGTGTTAATCATCGACCACCTGGCTGTCAAGATACTGATATCTTGACTGTTAAACTGGCAGTATGAGGGGATGACAGATTTGATCATATCCTCAAAGTCCAATTCTGAATGAGTTATTTTGTGTGTGTTTGTGTAGATGCAGAGTGGAGTGTTTGGTAGTAGCGGAGCAGCACAAGCCCGGGCCCTGCAGCAGCAGCCTCCTCCCCAGCCGTCAGTGCCACCTCTCAACTCGTCCCAGCCTAGTCTACGCGCTCAAGTGCCTCAGTTTTTCAGCCCTCAGGTGTGTAAGCAGACGCATGTGGTTTAGCACCTTATTGTGACACTGACTTCATTTGGTGACACATAGTTTTTCACCACTTGAGTATATGTGGGAGTGAGGAAATCTGACCATTTTGTTTACTGACAGGTTCAAGCACAGCTTTTACAGTTTGCAGCAAAAAACATTGGTCTCAACCCTGCACTTTTAACCTCACCAATAAACCCTCAGCATATGACCCTGTTGAACCAACTTTATCAGCTGCAACTGGTAAGTGCCAGTCTTTCGACATCTTATTGATCTGTATTTAAAGAATGTTTTTATTTGTCAGAAAGCTTAAATTTCATTCCTAATTTTTCTTTGTAATGACAACTTGTCACTTTGATCTTGCAGGCGTACCAGCGTTTACAGATTCAGCAGCAGATGTTGCAGGCACAGCGCAGTGTTTCTGGCCCCATCCGACAGCAAGAGCAGCAAGTGAGCAGTTCCTTCCCACAGCTTAGGGTCACCCTGATGCCATTCAAATCTCACAATTCTCAATACTGATTTGTTTGTGTGTTTGCTTTTAAGTTCTAATATCACACTTCTATAAAGTGTGCTGTGTTCACAAGCATGTCTTCTTACAGGTTGCACGTACAATCAATAACATGCAGCAACAGATCCAGCAGCACCAGCGGCAGCTGGCTCAGGCTCTGCTGATGAAACAACAGCAGCAGCAGCCACCCACCTCACACCCGGGCCTGCATCCCAGCGCAGGCAAATCAGCTCTGGACACATTTCCAGCCCATCCCCAGGCCTCCAGCCTCTCTGTTTCTGACCTTCAGACCAAAGAGCCGCAGTCTTCTCCAAACTCCTTCTCACCATACCCTATTTGTGAGTTACCAGCACTGTCTGTTATTGCATTCTTTCTGCTCAGACTAGTGAAGATCCAAATATTCTTCTATACATTGTTCCCACAGTCCTAGTAATCCTGGAATTACCACAGAATTTTTAAAGTCTTGAAAAACGTCATGCACATACCTATAGTGAATATATTTTTTCAAGTTGGCTCTAAAATGTATCATCAGCTAGATACTGATATAGATTAATTGGTTTGTGAGCAAATCTTTTTTTTTCTTCTTTTTTTTTCTTTCCCTAATAAGTCTGTCAAACCAGTTCACAAATCAAACCAAATGATTTATTGGAAAATCGGTCCGAATCATAATGATTTTTAAAAACCCTCATTCACTAACAAATAATTCAAAAAGTCAAGTTATTTTCTCAACCCCACTGATTCTTGCATATGTGCTTCTCTGTAGCTGGATTGAACCCTAACATGAATGTAAACTGCATGGAGGTGGGTGGCCTGTCCATTAAGGACTCTCCTCAGCCTCAGTCACGCCTGTCACAGTGGACACACCCAAACTCCATGGAGAACCTCTCTGGCAACTCCTCTCCAATGGAGGCCAACTTCAGCAAGCATGGTACACCTCACTTTTATAGTCATCAGTGAACATATTGTGAACATGTGGCATAGTAGTTAATATCAGGCCTGATACTGATGATTTTCCATATCACCAATATTATACAGGTGCCATCTCTACAGGCCCTAGTCTGGGTCCCCCAAGTAAGCCCCCGCTGGATGACTCGTACAGTCCCTACAATCTGATTCCCAGCTCCGAGTCTCCTGCCAGCCCCCTGGCACCTCATGATAGCTGGGGTCAGGGGAAGAACACCAATGACAAGATCTCCAATGGGACCAATGTCAACTGGCCTCCAGGTGACTAACTGGCAACTCTAAAATCTCTTTGGACTAGTAGGCTTATGAAAGCTTTAAGCGGATTTAAAATTGTTTGGACATTTTTACACTTATAAACCAACTGAATGTCATTGTACTAGATTAAAACAACATCAAACCAAGTAGCATCTGCAAAAAAAAAAAAAAATTTTCAAAATAAGGTGTAGAGGTGCACCACATTAAATATGGACGTAATCCACTGTTTGACAAAATAATATATTCTTTTTTTAATGTAATAATGTGAAAATAATCCAATATTTTATGTTTTTCTGTTATTTTATATATTTCTTTTTAATACATGCCTTTGATTGGTTCAGGGTTTCCAAAACTGTGGTTTTGCAGCATTCAGAAACATTTTCAAATAATAAAAACATCAAAATTAAAATGAATTGTTAAAATTTTAATATAAAAACAATCAAAAAGAAAAAAGTTTAAATGTTTTATTAGTTTACCTGCATGTCATGTGATCATTAGCCGACATCAGAGAACTGTGAACATACAAATATGTTGTTAAATTATTAAAATATTAACTTGAAATCTCAATGGGGCTTCAAGTAAATATTTTAGGTCAAACCGTTTCAGCTGATGGAAAAGTCCCTAGATTGAATAAATGTTATATAACGCAAAGAAAATCTCACATTTTGAATGTGTGTTAGACAGTGTCTCAAAATTATCTGATTTGTATGAAATCCCCCAGAGTTTTGTCCAGGAGTGCCCTGGAAAGGACTGCAGAATATTGACCCTGAGACTGACCCCAATATGACCCCAGGGAGCGTTCCCAGTGGGCCCACCATCAATACCAACATTCAGGATGTGAACCGCTACCTGCTGAGAGACAGGAGTGGAGGTAAGAGGACAAATCTCTTTTTCCCCTCAAAGAAATTATCTGTCAGATGACACTGGAAGCACAAAGCCTGAATAAATCCCATAACACCATGTCTAGTTAAATATTTTTATATATTCTGAATAAAAGGTATTGCGTATTGCAGTACTGTTTTTATTTAGAATGTCTTAATGTTTTTCACATAATACAACCACCAAGAATGCCGTAGGTTTTTTTCTTTAGTTTTCTTTCTATTTTCTACGTACGTTATTTTTCTGATTTCAACTTTGAATTATTGCCTACTTTGTGCGGGACATATCGTAGGTTCCACCCCAACTTCCTCACAGGGTGAGGCTCTGCCTCCCTCCAGCGATTGGCCAGTCACTAGCTCTTTCAGTCTGTCCTCCCAAGAGGCAGCCAGCACAGGTACAACTCCCAGAATCCCCTTCCTGCCCTCAGTCCTGCTCATCAAACTCTTTTCTTACCACTTACTGTTCAACCTAGCATGTGGCCCTAAAACGGTGGTCGCATTCCTGTATATCTAGTACATCCAACTCAAGTGTGGCCCTTTCCCCCGTAGAGAGTTCTATCCTGCCTACATTCATCTGTACATCCCCAGTGGTGTTAGTCACACACTGTCCCTTTGTGTGCAGCATGGTCACCGGCTATCTGTGATTTTTGTGAGGTGGAAGTGCTGAGAAGGCACTCTTTTATTTGCGAGACATGAACTCTTACAATATAACACATGGGCCTGTTTGCAGTGGCACCTCAGTGACTGTGACTGCTGTGAGAACACCTTTCAGTTAGCAAACACATTTACATCTCTGATCTACAGGGAAGCTGTCTGACATGAAGTCCACTTGGTCTCCGGGGCCCATCTCGCACACCCAGGCTTCTCTCTCTCATGAGCTTTGGAAAGTCCCACAAGGACCCCGGAACACAACAGCTCCCACACGGCCGCCCCCAGGCCTGACCAACACCAAGCCCTCGTCCACGTGGGGTGGAAACACCCTGGGCCTGGTGGCTGGCTGGAGCAGCTCCTACTCTTCAGGTGTGTGCATAAAAGGTGCAGTTTAACACTAGAACCGCCACAGGGTAAATGTTTTTTGTTTTATTTTTTTTTAAATGTACATGACAGATTTGACTAAAATTGTGTAATTTACAATCCCCTGATGTTAAAAATTGTTTAGACAAAACCAGATAAAAAAACAGGGCATTTAAAAACAAATTAATTAGCTGAAGCTGTGCACTTAAATTTGTCATCGCATCATACATCCTATGCAGTGTGGTGAATTATTGTTCATTATTGTCTATTTATTTTAGTAATTTAAATAACATGGGTTATCTTAATATATTGCTTAATGACATTGTATTATAATATTACACTACCCAAATATGTATTTATTTCCTTCTTTTTCTCGTTGTCAGTGCAGGCTTGTTTAGGTTATTGACCGCTATGAAAAGTGATTAGTGTAGCCTACATAAAAAAAGCCTTGACCATAAAACAACAGGACAAAAATATAGTTGATTACTAGACATAATAATTTCATGACTCTAGACACTTCTTTGTGAAGACAGTGGCATAATACAGTGAAATAATATGTTCTTTAGCAATATCAAAACAGTAGTCATGTACGTGGGTAAAATTTTCCCGTTGGCGGTTTTAGGTATACGATGACCCCTGGCGGTTCTAGTGTTAATCCCAGGCGGATATGTGTTTGTGCAGCTATTATTAGGCAAAGGTGTGGGTGTATCGAAACAGCAGTTGAATTGTCAGTTGACTCTTTTATGTGGGTGTAAACGCTAGTCAAAATGTGGGGGTGAGGTGAGGATTGGAACTCTGAGCGAATGTACTGTTTTGTGGTCTGGCATATGTCGCGTGTTAGTCAACATTCCCACGGTTGCTTGATAACACTTTCATGACATGTAACTGAAGCGCAATTGTTTGCCAGACTGTTTTGTATAAAAATGTGATGTTGAAATATTAAAAAGTTAACAACACAGTTATTTTCCATACAATCATAGTGAAGGGTGATCGAGGTTGTCAAGCATCATGACAGAAAAGGATGAACCAATATTAAAATTGTGCTCAATACTGATGAGCTGTTCAGGTTTAGTTTCTGTCCAAGCTTTTACTTCCTGAAAAGCTTGGGGTCCGGTTTTTCATGCTCACCAAGGCTGCATTTTTGGATAAAAAATACAGTAAAGACAGTAGCATTGCGAAATGTTATTGTAGTTTAAAATAACGTTTTATTTTAAATATATTTTAAAATGTAATTTATTCCTGTGATGGCAAAATTACATTTTCGCCAGCCATTACTCCAGTCTCCAGTGTCAAATGATTTTGTGAATAGTTCAAAAGAACATTTATTTGAAATCAAAATCACTTTTTGATCAATTTCATGCAAACTTATTAATAAAAGTATTAGTTTCTTTAAAAAAATTTTTTTGAACCGTAGTGCACATGGTACTTTAATGCTTTAGACTATGTTGTAATAATGTTATAAAATATATCACAGTTAATCACAGCATTAAAGAATTCTTTCTTTCTCTAAGTAGGTACCACATGGAGTACAGACAGCTCCAGCAGGAGCACTAGCTGGTTGGTTCTGAGAAACCTCACACCACAGGTATCCTTGTGGCTACTGTTATGTTCACTAAAATTTTTCAAAATAAGGTGTAGAGGTGCACCACATTAAATATGGACGTAATCCACTGTTTGACAAAATAATATATTCTTTTTTGAATGTAATAATGTGAAAATAATCCAATATTTTATGTTTTTCTGTTATTTTATATATTTCTTTTTAATACATGCCTTTGATTGGTTCAGGGTTTCCAAAACTGTGGTTTTGCAGCATTCAGAAACATTTTCAAATAATAAAAACATCAAAATTAAAATGAATTGTTAAAATTTTAATATAAAAACAATCAAAAAGAAAAAAGTTTAAATGTTTTATTAGTTTACCTGCATGTCATGTGATCATTAGCCGACATCAGAGAACTGTGAACATACAAATATGTTGTTAAATTATTAAAATATTAACTTGAAATCTCAATGGGGCTTCAAGTAAATATTTTAGGTCAAACCGTTTCAGCTGATGGAAAAGTCCCTAGATTGAATAAATGTTATATAACGCAAAGAAAATCTCACATTTTGAATGTGTGTGTTAGACAATGTCTCAAAATTATCTGATTTGTATGAAATCCCCCAGAGTTTTGTCCAGGAGTGCCCTGGAAAGGACTGCAGAATATTGACCCTGAGACTGACCCCAATATGACCCCAGGGAGCGTTCCCAGTGGGCCCACCATCAATACCAACATTCAGGATGTGAACCGCTACCTGCTGAGAGACAGGAGTGGAGGTAAGAGGACAAATCTCTTTTTCCCCTCAAAGAAATTATCTGTCAGATGACACTGGAAGCACAAAGCCTGAATAAATCCCATAACACCATGTCTAGTTAAATATTTTTATATATTCTGAATAAAAGGTATTGCGTATTGCAGTACTGTTTTTATTTAGAATGTCTTAATGTTTTTCACATAATACAACCACCAAGAATGCCGTAGGTTTTTTTCTTTAGTTTTCTTTCTATTTTCTACGTACGTTATTTTTCTGATTTCCACTTTGAATTCTTGCCTGCTTTGTTCGGGACACATCGTAGGTTCCACCCCAACTTCCTCACAGGGTGAGGCTCTGCCTCCCTCCAGCAATTGGCCAGTCACTAGCTCTTTCAGTCTGTCCTCCCCCGAGGCAGACAGCACAGGTACAACTCCCAGAAACCCCTTCCTGCCCTCAGTCCTGCTCATCACACTCTTTTCTTACTACTTACTGTTCAACCTAGCATGGGGCCCCAAACGGTGGTCGCATTACTGTATATCTAGTGCATCCAACTCAAAGGCTCTGTTTACACCTGGTATTACCGTGTTTTCGTCGATCCGATCACAAGTGGACAAAGGGAGACACATTACCGTTTACACCTGCCGTTTAAATGCGTCTCTTTTGTCCACTTTCGACCACTTCTGTCCTGATTCCATCGAGGGGAGGGTCTATGGGCGGGTCCCTCTGCTTTCGTCGGAACTACAGTGGGAAGATTAAACGCACGGTTACATATGGATGCGCACTAATATTACATCAGAGTCCAGCTGTTTGTGTTGTTATCAAATGAAGATGCTCCACAACGTGCTGTGCATGTTTATGTATGGGCTTTTTCAGTTATTTCGATCCAGCAGACGAAATAAGCTCACACAACTGTTGTATACTCGCAAAATGAGACAACGGAAAAAGCGAGGAGAGCAGCCACTTTTGTTTCTGCAGTGTTAGCCGCAAGACCTCGCTGAACGATGTGGACTCACGCCAGAAGTCAGGACTGGTGGAAGAATATTGTGCTCAGTACGTTTACTGATGACCAGTGGCTTGAACATTTTTGTATGCGACGACACGCATATAATGCCAAACAAAGCCACTGTGCACCGCCAGTTTATTAATTTGCCTAAAGGAGAGAAGCTTCAGGCAATCGTTGAAGGCTTTAAGGACAGATGGGGTTTTCCTCAGTGTGCAGGAGCAATTGATGGATCTCATATACCCATCACCCCTCCTTTTGAAGATGCTAAGGACTATTTCAACAGAAAAGGGAGCTATTCCATCATATTACAGGCTGTCATCGATCACAATTCACTGTGAGTGCAACTCTGTATGCATACAGTAATTCATCGGCTTTGTTTTAGCTGCTGTGTTATGCAGCTGTTTATATGTAAGCACGTTAAAATAGTTGTCTGTCACCTTATGAACAGGTTTACCAATATCAATGTGAGATGGCCTGGCAGTGTGCATGATGCCCGAGTGCTACGGAACTCCACCCTGTTTCACCTTGCAGAGAATGGCGACCTGTTTGCAGCAGTAAGACTGTATTATTTTAATTGTGCACATGCTACATAGCTTATGCAGTGTTTCAGGCTCTCTGAGTATTGTAACTTATGTGTTTGCTTTTTTGGTTTATTTGTTTGTTATAGGACACACAGGAAATTGAGTGTGTAAATGTCCCCATTATGCTTCTTGGAGACCCAGCATACCCACTCTTGAGCTGGTTGATGAAGGGATTTCCAGACACTGGTAATCTGTCTAGAGAACACAGGCGCTTCAGCTACCGTTTGAGCCGTGCACGCATGACTGTGGAATGTGCATTTGGGCAGCTGAAGGGGGAGGTGGAGATGTTTGCTGAAGAGAATGGAAATAGGTATATCACGGGTTCCAACCATTATGAGCAGCTGCTGTGTCCTACACAACTTGTGTGCATTGCACACTGAAAATTTTTTGGATGCAGGATGTGGAGGAGACTGTTGAACTGAATGCACCTGACTTTCTAATGCCACATGAGAGAGCAGAACAGCCATTGCATGTTAGACAGGCACTTTCACGTTATTTCTCCAGACAGAGTTGTAACTACTGAGTTTGTTGAACACTACAGTTAAATAAGAAATTTAATTTTACTTTACTGAGTTTTTTTGTCTTGTTACTGTTTTATGTTACCCATGACAATAAAGTTGCATAAAAGGGTCTGTTTTATTTGATTTGTCAAGACCCCACTTATTTATGTCTAATGTACTTGTTTGACATATCTGGTTTGTCAATTTCTTATCTATATTGGCATATCCATATGAGAGGTATGAGCAAGATGTGAGACATGGTCCTCATGAATTTATGATTATCCTTTTGTTTTAATTGGCCGTTAACTTAATGTGTATGTTCTGGCTATGCAGTGCTTTTAATGTGTAGATTACTCCATGGAAGGGTCTATAGCAGGGGTGGCGAACGTCGGTCCTGGAGAGCCGCATCCCTGCAGAGTTTTGCTTCAACCCTAATCAAACACACCTGAACAAGCTAATCAAGTTCTGAAGGGTTACTAGAAAGCTACAGGCAGGTGAGGTTTAATTAGGGTTGGAGCTGAACTCTGCAGGGCTGCGGCTCTACAGGACCGGAGTTCGCCACCCCTGGTCTATAGAAATTGTAAATGCATGATTATCCACTTTCACCCAAAAAATGACCTGTCCCTTCAGCGCATTCACAAAGGATTACAAAACGATTGGTCTTTTCAAAAACCCCCAAACTTTTTGTTCATTTTGTATTTTATGGTGGTTCATTGACACAAGTAATAAGTGTATGTGCTCATTTTCATTGACAACTACAGTTCCAAGTAAAATAACTTAAAATAGGTTAATGGTGGTCGATTAATATGTATTGTTGTCGATCACCTTTTCTTAAGATATTAGGCAACAACAGGTAAACAACACTGAGAAGTAAACCACAAACAGCACACAGATCCCGAAGATAAAGTTTATTTATATTTTAAAAAGTATAGAATAAAGACATGTTAAGAATTTAGAAGTTAAGAAATAAAAATCAACATATCTGTATCAGTGCACAATGTAAGCAAACAAATCACAAATGTTATAGATAAAAATGTAAAATAGTTAAAATTTTAGAAATAGAGAAATAACAATCTGCCTATATTTCTCACTGCACACGTTTAGCAAAAACAAAGATATGTAGTGTCTTATAGAGTAGTGATTTTTTTTTTTCCTTGGGTTTTATCTGTTGTCCGGTTGAGGAGATCCTAAAACAGGTGTGCTGCAGCGTGGCATGTCTGAAGTGGTGTGAGCCAGTTGACTTGTAAATGCTGGATGGTGAAATGATGTGCTAGGGTAAGATGGGTAACAGGGATAAGGTGCTGAGACAAATGATGTGATGGACTGCATCATCATCCCAAATATTTTCCTCTTGGGCATGCTGTCTCTCCTGCATCCTGATCAACATCTCGTCGTCCTTTGAGTCATTAATTGCCGTGGCAAACATTTCCAGCGTGGTTTCAAATTTGTTTTTCTTTCTTCTCATACCGCTCTCACGTGCCATTCTCCTCCTCTTACTGCAAATTGCAGAGGGTGTAGCGCCATCGGCCCGTTCAGGTGTGGTATCTACACAAACAGATAACATTTAGAACAGAATATTGGTATGAGTTATGTACTCTTTACCTACTCAAATGCTGTGTTTAATACTGATAATTACAGTTGTAATTGCAACATGCAAGCTAGTGCACTCTCGTTCTTTCTAGAAACAAATAAAATTATTATACATACCTTCGGTTTCTTCTGCCGTCACATCACCCGCAAGATCGGAATCAGTGGTGTCAGTTGGCATTGATGCTGTGCCAGTAAACAGACCGGCATCAGCAGAATCCAAAACAAAGCCATCAGCAGGGCAAAATGACGACTTGTCCTTCAAAACTAAGTCCAGTTCGTCAAAAAACGGACAGGTTACCCTTTCCATACCCGATTGGCTGTTGCTGTCTTTTGCCCTCCTGTAAGCAAGCTTTAAGTACTTTATTTTTCGCTGACACTGCTGCCATGATCGGTTGTAAACTGCTTTCTGATATTTTTTTTGCAATCATCTCAAAAACTGCATGGTTACGATACGAGTTGCCAAGTTTTCTTTGTACCTCATCTTCAGCCCAGACTGAGATGAGGCACCTGGTCTCACTGGATGTCCAACCACGAGGATCCATTGTGTTTCTCTAGTGCTTCGAAATAAACTTTATAGTTCAACCCGGCGTTTAAATCCCGTTTGACAAGCGCGCTTCCCAGCAACACGTCCCACAATGATTACGTGTTTGGTCAGTAGGCGGAGAGAAGGCAGTCTTTAGCAGCTGCTCGAAGACATTCGACCACATGCGCATCTACACTACAACAGCAATCCGGTCGAATGCGTTTTTGACCACCTCTGGATGTGGTCGAAAGTGGACAAGCTCAAAACGTTTTACACACCGTTTACACCTGTACTTAGCGCTGTCCACTTGTGATCGGGTCGATGAAAACGCATGTTAATGCCAGGTGTAAACCAGGCCAAATGTGGCCCTGTCCCCCGTAGAGAGCTCTGTCCCACCTACATTCATCTGTACATACCCTCAGTGGTGTTAGTCACACACTGTCCCTTTGTGCGGCATGGTCACCGGCTATCTGTGATTTTCGTGAGGTGGAAGTGGTGAGAAGGCACTCTTTTATTTGTGAGACAAACTCTTTCAGTGTAACACATGGCCCTGGGCCCTCTCTTTCTTGTTTGCGGTGGCACCTCAGTGACTGTGACTGCTGTGAGAACACCTTTCACCACTTGTTTGTCTAATTCTGGGGTGCACAGAATTAGAAACAGGAGATAAGATGTCAGTTGGCATACTCTTTTAGTTTCCTCCACTGCCCTTTTTCACACATTTACCTCTCTGATCTACAGGAAAGCTGTCTGACATGAAGTCCACTTGGTCTCCGGGGCCCATCTCGCACACCCAGGCTTCTCTCTCTCACGAGCTTTGGAAAGTCCCACAAGGACCCCGAAACTCGATGGCTCCCGCACGGCCGCCTCCAGGCCTGACCAACACCAAGCCCTCGTCCACGTGGGGCGGAAACACCCTGGGCCTGGTGGCTGGCTGGAGCAGCTCCTACTCTTCAGGTGTGTGTGTGTGTATATGTGTGTAAATGGTGCAGTTTAATCCCAGGCGGATATGTGTTTGTGCTGCTGTTCTTAGGCAAAGGTGTGGGTGTTTCGAAACGGCAGTTGAATTGTCAGTTGACTCTTTTATGTGGGTGTAAACGCTAGTCAAAATGTGGGGGTCAGGTGAGGTGAGGTTTGGAACGGTTGGAGCATTCGCGAGCATGGGCTCTGGCGGCGTAGCGAGCGTGCTGTTTTGTGGTCTCGCATGTGTCGCGTGTTAGTCAACATTCCCACGCTGTTGCTTGATAACACTTTCATGACATTTAACTGTAGCGCAGTTGTTTACCAGACGTTTTTTTATTTGGATAAAAATGTGGTTGAAATATATAAAAGTTTACGGTTTTTTTTTTTATACAGTCATAGTGAAGGATGAGCATCGTTCATCTAAAAACGGATGAACCAGAAGTAACATTCTGGTCAATACTGATAAGCTGTTCAGGTTTAGGTTGATATTGAACGCAATGCTATTTTGTCTAAATAAATAGAGATAAAAATGTAATTCAAAAAATGTTTAAAGAGGTGACCTTCCACATAAGAAATGTTTTTGAGTCTCTTATGCTCATTAAGACTGCATTTTTTTTTAATCAAAAATACAGTAAAGACAGTAGTATTGTGAAATGTTATTACAGTTTAAAATAACTTTTTTATTTCAATATCCTGTGATGGCAAAGTTGAATTTTCAGCAGCCATTACTCCAGTCTCCAGTGTCACATAATTTGGTGAATAGTTCAAAATAAATCTTTTGTAACATTACAAATGTCTTTACTCTCACTTTTAATCAATATCATGCAATCTTGCTGAATAAAAGGGTTACACTTTATTTTTAAGGTATCCTTGTTACAGTGTAACTATACATTTAAGTACTGAGTAATATTAATTAACTAAATGAACTTACTATATGGTTAGGGTTAGGATTGGGGTTTGGCTTAGGCAAGTGCATGTAATTATGCATAATTCATTGTTATTATTTATTGTTATTATAATAGTAAGTACATGTAACGTGTAACAAGGACACCTTAAAATAAAATGTTACCAATAAAACTATTAATTTCTTATTTTTTTTCGAAGTGTACTTTAATGCTTATACTAAATTGTAATCTTTTGCAACACTACAAATGTCTTTACTGTCACTTTTAATCAATTTCATGCGATCTTGCTGAACAAAAGTATTTAATTTTTTTTTTTTTTTTTGAAGAATAGTGTACATGATACTTTAATGCTTAGACTATGTTGTAATGGTTGTTATAGTGGACTGTGTTATAAAAGTTTATCAAAGCATTAAAGAATTCTTTCTCTCTCTAAGTAGGAACCACATGGAGTACAGACAGCTCCAGCAGGAGCACTAGCTGGTTGGTTCTGAGAAACCTCACACCACAGGTATCCTTGTGCTACTGTTATGTTCATTGACTTGAATTCTTGGTTAATCATGTGCAGTGTTATGCGACCCTCTTTGTTTTCTGTGACATTTAGATTGATGGTTCTACACTGCGGACACTGTGCATGCAACACGGCCCGCTCATCACATTCCATCTCAACCTGACGCAGGGCAACGCCGTGGTGCGCTACAGTTCTAAAGAGGAGGCTGCCAAAGCCCAAAAGTCCCTACACATGTACGTAAATGTTTCACTGATGTCTTCTTTTTAAAGAACCAACCTCAGCTATATCATCACAGTCATCCGTTCTCTGTCTCTGAATACCTGCTTTCCAGGTGTGTTCTGGGAAACACCACTATACTGGCAGAGTTTGCTGGAGAAGAGGAGGTGAACCGCTTCTTTGCACAGGGTCAGTCCCTCACGCCCACTACCAGCTGGCAGGCCAACCCCGGCACCAATCACACACGGCTGGGGGGCGGAGGGACGGCGGCCACACACCCCATCGGCCACTGGAACAGCAGCAGTCTGGGAGGAGGAGCGGGCGGGATGGGGTCCGGCGGGAAGGCGAGCAACGAGCTGCTGTGGGGGGGTGTACCGCAGTACTCCAGCCTGTGGGGGCCGCCCAGTGCCGAAGACGGCCGAGTGGTGGGCAGCCCCACCCCAATCAATACGCTGCTTCCTGGAGACCTGCTGAGCGGAGAGTCCATGTGAGAGCGCCAAGCGCTCGAACCCCCGAACCACAGCGAAATATGAAACTTAACGAGCAAAAACCAAGCAAATCAGTTGGCGATAATCAACGTCAGTGGAACTGTGAAAAGCCAAGAGACAGGAGGTTGAGGCCACACTTGCATAGAGGCTGCTGACCTTCTTCCTCTACTTTTTTGTTTTGTTTTGCGTCTCTTCGTCTGTTATTTTGATCATTAGGCTTGGGTTACAGTATTCTATAGACTTCTTACAAAGAACCGTGACTAAAAGAGAAGTGAACCTTTACAGAGACTTTTCTCTAATAACTGAAACCAGTGTGAAAGTGTATTTTACTACAAACCGACAAGACAAGCTGCCATTTTTTAAAATTCCTCTGGCACGAGCACATCCTGTCAGCCCAATCACAGCATATCGTCCTCTTCCCCCCGAAGAAACGTGCGTCATTCCAAACCGACTTCCCCTACTCCCTGTCTTTTAGACTGGATCCATGGCTTTTTTCAGTTGTCCTTTGGATCGTTTGGATTAACAGCACTAAACTTTAGCCTTAACTGCTGATCAGTCCCACTCCATTTGTACTCTGAAGAAACTCATCTTGAGAATTGCACATTTTCTCATTTCTGAGCCAGGACTGTCATGGTTTCGATCTCAGCCGCAGCGTACGCGCATTCGTCCTTCCTGTTTCCTTCGGTTGCCACCTGTCCTCGTAACTCTCGAAAGGACGGACAGGTATCTGACCCCTCTGCACATTTGAAGCATTTATTCTTAAGCTGAGAGGACACGTGGACAGCTGAGGAATATATTAACCACTGCTCACGAAAAACTGTACAGGAAACACTTTTTCAGATGGACTACTTTTTCTAAACGACCTTGGTCTCTCTTTCAAAAAAAAAAAAAAAAACATAAGCCCTCATTGTTGTTCGTCTGAAGTGCAATATATGCCACAGATTCTTCTGTCCATCTTTACGCAGTGCTTTTTTGCTGGTGAAACGGCAGGAGCTCGCCGGGGGGGATCAAAGACTCGTCTCCTGCCGTGTCCACCAAGCGTGGGACTGAACAGAAGAGGACTCTCTCAGTGTGTAAGCCCATGGTGATGAAACATTCACAAGCACTTCCTCTACACACTCAAGGACAAGTGTGACTACAGGGGCAACAGGGGCTTCAAACCAAATAAGAGGTGTTTCTTGTAACCCAGTAGACAAAGTGCATTTTTTTCGTTGTTGTTGTATTTGGTACAAAAGTATGGAACAAAGAAGGCGTGGTTTCTTCATAGCACTTAGCAAGAGCGTCAAGCTCCGACTTCAATGCCAACAAATTACACATGGACATGTGAAACTGACAAAAAGCAACGATGAAAAGCAATCTACCGAACTTCTCCTCCATACTCTAAACGGATTTTGCCGTTTCTTTTCTTCTTCGTCTTCGTCTTTCCACAGTCTTTCGACTTTGAAGTCAGACATTTTGAAAATAGTAGCAAATTGAAGAGATGTCTGATATGAAAAAAAACACCACAACAAGACTGAAGCTTTCCCGTGTTTTTTTTTTTGTTTGTTTTTTCTTTAAGATGATATATATCAAAGTAAATATCACTGTTACAGTACTCCAAAATCATTAGCCTTTTGTCTGGAGATGCTAGACGTGTTGTAATGTTTCTAATGGATTCTGCGGGGCCCCTTGCCCTGGCGGCCCCGCCTACCTGTATGATAAGTGTGGCCATTGAGTGCCTATCTGCTGTGGCACCTCAGGTGCCCACACTCTGACTTTTGACCCGCTGTGCCAGGCCGGCGCACCAGATGCCAGAATGGACCCGCCTGGGGCCGGAGCAGTGGCTCCTTCAGACCTGGCCAATCAGTACGTACTACTACTGCGCCAGCACTCGACCTCGTCTCAACTTCACTCTTTCTCCCTCTCATGCAAAGATCACTTTAGCTGGAAGTGGACAGGTTCGTTTTATGTACTTTTTACGATCGATTGGGTTTTTCCCTTCTGGAATTGCCAGTGTTGTTTTTTTTGGTCAACATTGCTGTTGTTATTGTTGTTGCTGTTGTTGATGTTATATCGCTATTTTGCGCTTTTTCGGTTTATGTGTGTGGTCTCTATGGTAGCTGCTCTCACCAGCCCCTCTTGCTGCGCATATGCAGAAACACTTTGATTAAGAGGCACACCTCAGCGTAAACGGCGGCGCCGATTGATCCAGAATCACTCGTAGTGACGGAAATGGGTTGTTTTGAGGACGGAGTGCACGTAGTGGCGAAACGAAGAGTAGGTCGATGGTGCTCAGTTTGTGTTCTGCCTCTCCTCTGCACGTTCCTCCGCTCCAGTGTCGCAGTCCCGCCAGGCCACACACTCGCACTGGTGCTTACGACAAAGGGCAGGCAGAGTACACTACTTTACCTGGTCGCCTCTTCTCACAGTAATAAAAGCAAATGATAACGGAGACTCGGCTCTCCACTTCTATGCAAAGACCGACCGAGAGGTGCAGTTCACGGCCTTCAATCTGTAGTTCTCTCCAAGCCCACTCTTCAGCTCACCAGGTGATTGTGAGAAGGCAGCTTCCTTACGGTGTGGCCTAAAGTAAGAAACCGGCCCGATGACCAGGCCCTCACTGTTTACTCTCTGAATGATCTCTTACATTATGTACATGCAGTCTCAGGGCAGCCTCAGAGAACCCCAAACTGTTTTATCGTTACGAGGAGGGCGCTATTGCATTATCCGATGTGGCTTTAAAGAGGCTAAATGGGTGGGTGAGTGGACTCTGAGAAGGATTCGTAGGAAGTCCCACTGTTTTTTTGTTTTGTTTTTCTAGATCCTAATGTACCTATTCTCGATCGTAGACCTAACCTAGACATGAATCTATCAGAGTGGAACTACTTCTTTCTTGAAATTTGTTTTGATGTTTGGTTTTATAAAGAGCACATGGAGTGGAGAGGTAGAATGCAGGTTGGCACCAAGACAGACGGGTAGCACCTTGTCCCGGGTATCAAATATATACTTCTGGGAGGACTGCTGACAATTAAACGGGGAATCCAGAATGTTTAGGTGCACTGTAGATGGTTCACATTTGGGTACATCTTTTCTTTTTCTTTTTTTTAAACCAAAAAAGGTTTTTGTCTGATTAATATTGTTGAAAAAGGAAACTTTAATTCTGTACACTCTTGACTGAAGTGCTTCTCTCTGCAAGCCTTTGACGCCCTGAAGTGGCGGACAGATGACTCTGGGGTTGCTGTATTGATGGTATTAAATTCTGTCCTGACCCGATAGTAGGGAAACGGTGCAGATTATTATTATAATTTTTTTCAGGTCCAGGTCCATGTGGACTTATTGTATCAGGAGGCCTGGGGCACATGACAGTTGATACCAAGTCTTAAAAGGGGAAAAATCCCTTTCTGGAAGATTTTTTTTTTCCACACTCGAGTCACACTAGCAACAATCACTATTGCCTGTTTTTGAAGAGATATATATATATATATATATTTTTAACTGCCTTTCTCTAAGATGTACTCGAGACCACGAAAAACAAACGTCCTAAACGTGTTTAAAATCCAGAGGATTGCCTGGCAGACTAGCGAGCTAGCCAACAAGTGCCCACTGTGTCCTCCACTGTGGGCATATACTGGGTCTTATTGATAGGACTAATGTACCCCAGCTCCACGGCTCAGATGCAACTTTGTTTCGATAAAAAGGCTGCTTCGATCGTACAAAATAACAGGGCCTGGGTGGAGATGAGCTCTAAGAAACACAAATCCTCTTTCTTAGGGTCCTGGCTAGAATATGCACATGCTGGTTGATATACATGTACATCTGAAATCCTGTGCATGTATATAACTGGTTATCTTTTGTGTTTATTTACCTTTACTTTGGTTTTCAGGCCCGAGTAACCCCGTTCCCTTCTCTCCATGAATTTACCTAGATGATAAAAAGCATAAACATATCAAAATTATACAAATTAAAAAACACAAATACTTGAATAATAAGAAGCGCCAATAATGTAATGTGAAATTTTTTTTGTAATTTTGTCATTCATACACTTCCAAGCTTTTTGATAACATCAGTTCAAACTGGAAAAAAAAAAAAAAAGTTTGTTTGCGCCTTTGTTTCATTTTAAGCATCTTAGAGTTTTTTTGTTGGCTAGTCAAAAATATATTTGTATGTGTATTGTTATCGTATTTGTTATTAGCTTTGTTATTAGAGTTGCACTGAGTGTCTGCTTCCCCTCATTCAGCTAATCGTACAACATGATATTAAAGTACTAAGGGGACAAGGTGACAATTCATGTGTTAATGTTTACTCAAGGACTTATTGAGAAAAATAACAAGTGTGTTTTTTGTTTTTTTTTATCTATAATACGATTATCTACCTTATAGTGGCTTTTATTGTGGAATAATCCATGATAAAGAAATTGATTATTTTGAGTATTGCACCATTTTGTTTTTCAGATCATAAACAGAAAAAAAATGCAAAATACTAAAAAAAAAAAAGTATATATAAAATGTAGGGATTTTTTTTTTTTTTCGAAGAACTGTGGCCATAGATCGATGTAGAGGGACTTGTAACTCCCCATGTTACACCATGATGAGCTGGATAGACATCTGGAGAAGAGTTTCTTACAAGACTCATTTCAGAGGTGCCTACCTTTCTGGTTTGGTTTTTTTTTTTGGTTTGGTTTATTTTTTGGTCGTTAATGTTCGTACCTGTTCTAGATCTTCTTTGTGCAAGGCCACCAACAGTTTACAAGCATTTCATGTTTTTCTGAAGTTCAAGGAAAAGAAATGTTGCGAGAGGATTGTCATGAGAAGAGAAAAATCCTAAAGGACATATACTTCCATCAAACGAATAACAAAAACACTTTACGGAATGAAGATTATTGTGTTACTTGCAGAACTCTGGGATTGATCAGTGTTGTCATGTTTTTGTTTTTATTTTTTATTTATGTTGGCTATGTTACTTTCATAGATTATCAAAGCCTGTGTTTTTTTTTTTCCAATGCAAAAAAACATTTCCTTTGTTGAAAAAAAAAAAGAGAAAAGAAGACATAAATGTTCACTATCTTGCACACAAAAAAAGTGGATCATGTCTCAGGAAGGCAAGGGTTCCAGAGTACCAACTCCACGCCATTTGATGTTCGTTTTTAGAGAGAAAGGATAACAGAAAAAAAAGAAGAAGAAAAAACATAAGCACTGAAGGTTATGGATTTCAGAAGAAGAAAATACCTTTGTTTCTAAATCCGTAGCAGTTACATATTTACCAAATAATGAACTCTTAATGAACTTTAAAAAATGGAGTGCTTTATATATATGAATCTATATATTGAAATTGCTTTACATTTTAAACAAAATGATGAATGATTTTAATTGTTCAAAAGACGGTGAAAGAACATACAAATGCTGTATGTTTGAATCTTTATTGTATTTTCTTAACATGAGGTTCCTTCCTGTTGAAATCAGGACCATTGTGCATTACTATTTCTTTCCTCTTTGTCATTCTGTCTCTTGTGGGGGGTATTACATAATGAGAAATTAAAAAGAGGGGTTGGGGGGCAGGGGTTCTGTATCAAATTGATCGATTTAAAGAGAAAAAAAAGCTGGTTTATACGGATCATGATCTATGCACAAGGGGGTGGGCTTCTTAAAGCCTCTGTGACCCATCTCTCATTGGGATTAGAGGGATTCTTTTTATTGTGCTCATTTACTCTGTTGTCTCCCTCCCCCACCGACCCCATCTTATTTCCCATTTTTCATGTTTCTTACATACAGTAAGTACATCACCATGCTGTGTATTCCTAAACCAATGAACGTCTCATTCTGAAGCACTGTGGAGTTTTTTTTTGTAGCCCATGACTTTCAAGGTTGTCTGTGTTCTGCGTGTGTGTGTGTGTGTGTGTGTGCGCGCACCCACGACTGAGTGTGTGTTACTGGGATGAGTGTGGATGGAGATACTGGGTTGCTTTTGCCTTTTGATTTTAAATGTTAAGGAATATGTCTGTACTGAGATTAAGAAGTCAGTGGCTTTTAATGTTTTTGTTTTCTCTCCTCATAGAATGTGATTGTTGACATGCACCGAAAAGATTTTTTGAACTATGGAGCTTCTTTCAAACAATTAATAAATTGCATTTTTGTTCTTGGCTGTAATGAATTTGGTTTGGTCATTTCTTAGTAGTAGACATCAGTAACCTGCAGTGTTATGTTTTTGGTTTTTTTGATAGAATGAAAAATAGTGTGCATGATATGTAGCAATTTGGATCACATAAAAACAAAATGCCCATGACAAATTATCAGAACGTAACCAGCCTGTATTCACCTTGCTTTATCTAAAATTACTCTTCTAAAACAAGTGGGTTAAAGAAGGATTGGGAAATGCAGTTTTAAGGAAGAACAACAACTATTTATTGCTAGTTACAAATATAGCAATTATGTTAGTTATTATGGCATTTATTAACTGAGGCAACAGAATATTTGTTCTTTTTAAAATATATTTGTCATTTATCCAAAAAAAGGAAAAAGAAAGACAGACCAAATGGTAAATTAAATATGGTGAAAAACTAGGAATTGTGACACCTGTACTGAACACGGTTCATTATATATATATATATATATATTTGTGTATGTTATAGATTTTAGCATGTTCCTGGAAATGGATATATTTCAATAACATATTTCACAACTAAGCTGATTTTTATGATTCTTTTTCCTGATGCTGTTCCACATTTGTCTGTTTGGGGGATCTGTAGAGGTTCTCCAGCATAGCAGATGTTTCTGGGGCTGGTGGACTAATCCAATGACTGTTTGCACTGCTTCCTTTTCCTTTCACACTTGACATGTCTTCATAAATTGGAGCTGTGATTTGACGCTCTGGCTCAGCATATGGCTTTTTCTGAGGA